ACGTGTGTCATCCAGTGGCGCACTTGGTTTATAACTGCCTCTCATGCGGAAGATACCTGGTTCAAATCCAGGACAGGTCATATATATATATATATACATATATATATATATATAAATAAAACAAAAGAAAAAATCATTTTATTTCTCTCTCTTCTTTAATAAAACCACATCAGAAACATGGAACAATAAGAAAGAGGCAAGGCAAGTTTATTTGTATAGCACAATTCATACACAAGGCAATTCAAAGTGCTGAACAGAACAAGAAAGCATTAAAATCATAAATAATCACAGTACATTAAAAAAAAAAGATAAAAATATAAAATCCCTCAGTTGTATGCACAGCTAAACAGAACCGTCTTTAACCTGGTTTTAAACATTGTCAGAGAGGAGGCCTGTCTCACATCTTCAGGAAGACTGTTCCAGATTTTAGCAGCATGAATCTGAAAAGCAGCCTCCCCATGTTTAGTTCTGACTCTGGGCATTAACAGGAGTCCAGTCCCTGTGCTCCTCAGAGTCCGGGCTGGTTCATATGGGACTAACATGTCACTAATATAGTTTGGTGCGAGGCCATGGAGAGATTTGTACACAAGCAGAGCTGTTTTAAAGTCTATTCTCTGAGCCACAGGAAGCCAGTGCAGGGACCTGAGGACCGGACTAATGTGGTCGTACTTCCTGGTTCTAGTCAGGACTCGAGCTGCTGCATTTTGAATGTACTGCAGCTGTTTTACAGCCTGTTTGGACAGACCTGTGAGCAGGCCTTTGCAGTAGTCTAACCTACTGGAGACAAATGCATGGATAAGAATCTCCAAGTCTGCTTTAGACACTATGTTTTTGATCCTGGCAATGTTTTTTAGATGGTAAAAAGCTGCTGATGTCACTGATTTGATGTGGCTATTAAAATTTAAGTCTGAGTCCAGTATTACCCCTAGATTTCTGACCTTGTTTGAAGGTTTTAGGGAGAGAGACTGTAGGTGACAGATGACGCTCTCTCTTTGTTTCTGGGGACCAAAGACAATCATTTCAGTTTTGTCTGCGTTTAGCTGAAGGAAGTTGTTTTGCATCCACTCACTGATCTGTTGGATACAGTGAAGGAGTGAGTCCACTGGTCCATGTTCTCCTGCAGTCAGTGAGACATAGATCTGAGTGTCGTCTGCATAGTTATGATAGGACACTTCGTTTCTGCGTATTAACTGACCTAACGGCAGCATGTAGAGATTGAACAGAAGAGGTCCCAGGATCGACCCCTGTGGTACTCCACAGGTCAGGGCCATATGATCTGAGACACAGTCTCCAATCTCCACAAAGTACTTCCTGTCTTCAAGGTAAGACCTAAACCAACTTAGGGCGGTGCCAGCGACTCCAACCCAGTCCTCTAGTCTCTGTAGCATTAATACATATATTTTTTTTTAAAGAATGCAAAGTATAAGACACAGCTTAAACGGTCCAAGAACAGAAATGAAGATTTTAACAATATAGAGATGAAACCTCATGTTCCAATTACACAACTTTCTGCTTGTGTTTTTCAATCCATCACTCTTCACCATCTTTGGTTGGCTCCATTCTTGATGAAATGTCCTAAAACAACAATAGAATCTTTCGGTTTTTTCTTTGCCAAAACACAAAATAAGTGGCGCAGTCATTAAACATTCGCCTATAGTGCGTGAGATTGGCAGATCGAATCAAAGTACCATTTTTTTTTTTTAATGGCAGTTATATAAAAACTGTATATATATATATAAAGATATATATAGATATTTATAGATATATATATGTATAAAGAAATAACCGTCATAAAAAAGTTTTTGATCTTGGCTGGATTTGAATCTGCGAACTCTTGCATGATTGGCAGACACACACCAGCTATACCACTCACCAGGTGGTTGTAAGTAAAATTGTGTCTTGAGTGTTTTACACATCATTTAGTTTTACCCTAACGATGATGCAATATTAATCCTAATGCAAGATTACTATTGGAACAACACATAACCATATGTATGAAATATATATTCATACATATTCAATTTGTATTTAATCTGACAAAAAAAAATAAAGACCAGACCTGGAATTGAACCAGGTATCTTTCGCATGAGAGACAGTTATAAACCAAGTGCACCACAGGAATATACAGTTTTTTAGAATCTAAACCACATGTAATACATGAAATCAAGTCTTTCAACAAATTTTAAATTATTATAACTCAAACTACATTTTTCAAACAACTTATGGCACTTCTGACATTCTCCATGAAGTGTTATGCCCAAGGACCCAACATCAGCAAATGTCATTGGTAGTCACTTGGGATTTGAACTAGCAACCATCAACACCGTAGACCTGTGCTTTTCCATCTGAGCCACTGGACCACTATCTCTAATTTGCTGCTTGTTGTCTTTTGTACAGGCTGCTTTCAACTGTATTTGTTTTACACGCTATTTATTCCCCACATGCCGTTTTAAACGCCATTTATTGCCCACATGCCGTATTAAATGCCATTTATTGTCCACATGCCGTTTTAAACGCCATTTATTGCCCACATGCCGTTTTAAACGGCATTTGTTCCCCACATGCCGTTTTAAACGCCACTTGTTGTCCACATGCCGTTTTAAACGCCACTTGTTGTCCACATGCCGCTTTACACGCCATTTATTCCCCACATGTCGTTTTAAACGCCACTTGTTGTCCACATGCCGCTTTACACGCCATTTATTCCCCACATGCCGTTTTAAACGCCACTTGTTGTCCACATGCCGCTTTACACGCCACGTGTTGTCCACATGCCGTTTTAAACGCCACTTGTTGTCCACATGCCGCTTTACACGCCACTTGTTGTCCACATGCCGCTTTACACGCCATTTATTCCTCACATGCCGTTTTAAACGCCACTTGTTGTCCACATGCCGCTTTACACGCCACTTGTTGTCCACATGCCGTTTTAAACGCCACTTGTTGTCCACATGCCGTTTTAAACGCCACTTGTTGTCCACATGCCGCTTTACACGCCATTTATTCCCCACATGCCGTTTTAAACGCCACTTGTTGTCCACATGCCGTTTTAAACGCCACTTGTTGTCCACATGCCGCTTTACACGCCATTTATTCTCACATACCGTTTTAAACGCCACTTGTTGTCCACATGCCGCTTTACACACCACTTGTTGTCCACATGTCGTTTTAAACGCCACTTGTTGTCCACATGCCGTTTTAAACGCCACTTGTTGTCCACATGCCGCTTTACACGCCATTTATTCCCCACATGCCGTTTTAAACGCCACTTGTTGTGTACATGCCACTGATCAGCTGTGGCAGGTGCCGGTGCCACAAAAGGAGCCTGCCCTTTCTCATAATTGGATGAGGTCGAAGCGTGCAAGTTAGTCCCAGTTTGCACATAGATAGATAGATAGATGGATAGATACTTTATTGATCCCCATTGGAGAAATTTGGGTGACCAGAAGCAGGTGAAACACATGCATCCATACAAAAAACAAAACAAATATAAAGATAATTCTATAAGTAGCTAACAATAACTTCAAATTTCTTAGCTAGATGTTAAGATGTTTGGCTAAATGCTCAGATGTTTCTTTTTCGAACGGTTAATCTTTTTGTCTTTTTTTAACCATGGACTGGGAGACATGTTTTGTAAACCAACTTTTTTGTTTTGCTTTTTAGATCCTTCCATGCAAAAATGATATCATTTTACCACTATGACGTCACACTCAGAGCCATTTTCACACAAAAGTAATGTCCCAAGATTACTGTTGGCAAATTCTCAGGTGAAATGACATTTTTTGACAATTGCATGGCTGTGTTTGCAGTCGGTAATTTCCAAATCTGTGAAAAAAAACAAAAAAACAAATTCTAACCCTCCCCCTGGTGGAAACTCAAGCCAAAAGCATAATTTATTCTTGATACTTTTTCACCATTTATTTTCTACGAGATTTTAAAACAAATCCTTTTTAATGGACTGTGATAGTGTATGTTGTTTCTTGTTAATGGTTTTATTTTCTAATCCGCTTTTGGGACTTTCGGAGGATTACAATTGTGATTTTGAGCTGCACTGCCTACAGAAATGTTGACTCTGGGGTAAAGAAGTACCCCCTGCTCCAGCTCTAATTCTCCATGTTTGTGTGAAAGCCTTGGTAACGGTGCATTTGAGTGTTTAAGGTTGATCATTGAGCAGCTCATTCAGACCAAAGCACTCTTTGACCACATTTCTCAGCTCACGTTGGCAGGTCTCTCCCTCTCTCTGTCTTTCTTGTTTATGTCTTGGGTTTCATCCATGCTCACTCCCTCTCCAAATATTTTCTAATGCCACTGAAGAATGTTCATATGTTGTTGCTGGAGTCATGTTTGTGTAGAGGCTGCAGTGAAAGGAATCGCAAGTTGTGGTTTAAAAAGACACTCATCAATTAGGACAGAGGTGTCAAACTCATTTAAAAACATTAGAGCTGCTGGGGGCCATATGTGGAAAAGTCTTTTGATGTATTGGACATAAGTTTGGATTTTATTTTCTAGTTGGTTTGGATTCAACCACAACTGGGACGTATATCAATAAGAGATGTATTGGAAGACTGATGGTAAAAAGTAACTAAAACTTCTATTTGCAAATGCAACATGGGTGTTTTCCGGAGAAAATAGGCTTTATTATGAAATACCACATGCCATAGTAGCCCCTTACTATTTTACTGCAAAAAGACAATTGAAAATCATTGCAGGGAAGATTGAAAATTGTGGATCACGGGCATGAGTTTGATTTGCCTGAATTGGGACATGTTCACGACAATAATCAGCCATCCACACCATAGTAAACACCATATTAAGGCTTTGAAACGGCTGCATGGGGGGATCATTAACCATCTGATATGCAGATAAGGATAGCTCAACCTACATTTATATTATTCCATCAGTTAGCAAGAACTCAAATTATGCTTTCTCTGTAAACAACTTTTCCCCTTGGTATTATAAAACACAGAGCAAGTTTTTGAGATGAACTTGGTGGCCTGTTTATGGGAGCGAGAGCAGCGGAGTTCATTGAGGTTAGTGACTCTCCCACCGGGTCCAGAGTGAAGAGGAGGAGCGGGCACATCTGCACAGGTTGATCGTTATTCCACTAAACTTACTATTACAGTCGTAATGACAGTCTGACGTAGCCATTCAGACAAAAATGTCGATGCAATGGTGCAAATATTTGAGAGACAACATACAAATAGTTCAGGATAGTGTTGATGGAATGGGAACTGTTTGGGTACCTCACTGTAGTCTCAATAATAAGTAAGTAAGTAAGTAAGCTTTATTTATATACCGCCTTTCACAGACCAGAGTCACAAAGCGGTTTACAATTGTTATTTTTTGGGCACTTGTCCTCACTCCACACAGAGATGGGAGCGGGGTCGCCAAACAGGAGGCGCATGCCAGACCTATTGTACATATTTTTTTTAGTGGTAGGGGAAACCGGAGTACCCGGAGGAAACCTACGCAGACACGGGGAGAACATGCAAACTCCACTCAGAAAGGCCCTGGTCCGGCCGGGATTCGAACCCAGGACCTTCTTGCTGAGAGGCAAGAGTGCTATCCACTCAGCCACCGTGCCACCCAAACAATACCCAAACAGTTCCCAGATTGACAGAAATGTGGTCTGGTAAATTTCCATTAAACGCTTTTTTAGTGTTGAAGGTGCTTAGGCTTGAATAATTCATTTCAAACTATAAACTAGGTCTTACCTCAATTATTTTTAATGTGTTTACTCTTCAAATGTATTGTGCGGTGCCAGTTATTTTACTGTAAATAAAACACACAAGAGGATCCATTCAAAAGAAGCACAAAAACAAAACAGCTTGTGACAGACCTATGTTGAACTGACTATTTAAGGTGAACATTTATTTGAAAAACAGTACAAAAACTCATATTTCATTTTGTTGTTTGTCGTGGACCTGTGTGTGTGTGTGTGTGCATTTTGTGTTGACATTTTGAAGAAAAACAAAAAAACAATGTCACTTGCTTGAAAAAATTCTAAACGAGCATCACATAACACATAAATCATGAAAACATGTTATTTCAGGCCCATGATGGAGGGAAGGTCCTCCCCTTTTCATTATTGGGATTTTTGAGTGGCGCATTCAACATTAAATCAAACTCTTGGACCTGCCGACACATTTATCTAGAATTAACTCCTGCAACATTGTTTTTATGTGCTTGGACATCATATATTGGCAATAGCCTTAGTTGACTTTACATATAGAACGACTCCTTTATTCGAGTTTAATTTTCAGGCTTAGGTGGTGACGTGTGACTTTTCTGTTTTCACTCGTCTGTGTGTTTGTGCAGGTGCTCATGCCTCTGCAGAGTGACAGCAGTGACCCACTTCAGCCTCCCTTCTCTTACCCTTTCTCCCCCATCACACCCTCCCTCACCCCTCCTCAGCCTCTCGGTCTGGAGACGGGCACAAGAAGCTCTCTGTCATGGGAAACCGGTCGTCCCCATAAAACGCATTCAGACTGACGCTTTGGATTTGACTCGATAGTTAACAAGCTGCCTTTGCGTTTTCAGGCCAACAGGTGAAAACAGTCCACTCTGCTTTAGTTTGTCAAAATGTTAGGCTTTAATTTACTGCCCTGTGGTATTTTTTTAAACGCTTGTATATTGTTGGGCAAGGTAAAAGCAAAAAAGGGCAATTATAAATAATGTCTTTAATCTTTACAGGCTAATGTCGGAGATTTACTTTTAAATGGATGTAGTTTGCACTTAGTGGGATAATTAACTCGTGAGTCACTGCTCTGTTTCTGGGCGGCACAGTGGCTGAGTGGATAGCACGCTGGCTTCTCAGCAAGAAGGTCCTGACCTGGGTTCGAATCCCGGTCGGAACAGGGCCTTTCTGAGTGGAGTTTGCATGTTCTCCCCGTGTCTGGGTAGGTTTCCTCCAGGTGCTCCGGTTTCCCCTACCACTAAAAACATGTACAATAGGTCTGGCATGCGCCTCCTGTACTGGCGACCCCATCTCTGTGTGGAGTGGGACAAATGCCCACAGTTGTAAACTGCTTTGTGACTCTGGTCTGTGAAAGGTGGTATATAAATAAAGATTACTTACTACTAGATTACTTACTGTGAGTCATTGGAATCACTTGTGAACAGAGAATCAGCCCTGAACAGGTTTTCATATGTTTCAGAGGTTTACTCATACGCACACCCTTGATCTGAATGTGGATGTGAGTCGCTGAAAGTGTGAATGCGACTTCTGCGAGGCTGATGAAAGTTCAGAGTGTGCACCTATGATGAGTCTTTGAGCGATGTGATCAAATTTATGGGCATTTTTTTCTACAACAACCTGTTCAGGGACAACAGTTGTACAGTTGTGTTGCCACCTGCATTCCACCTGCTGGAGTTTAGTAAGAAACGATACAAACTATGTATTGTGTGACTAATCAAGTAAGTAGTCATACATACAAGTACGTTTAATAAAGAATGAATCCACTGTAAAGCTATGATTTTTTACATATTGACCGATTATCTGGGAACATATAAAACAAGACACCATTTAAAATTAAGATATTAAACACATTCCCTTTAAATAGACACATTGATCCCAACTAACAGAGAACACAATATCAAATTGCACAAAAGGCCATAATATACTAATGCCATACAATGCTGTTTACTGTTTGTACTATACTTTATGCTGTGTAGTATATAGTAGGAGCACTGTACTATAAAATAAACGATCTCAATAAAACATGGGGGAAAATACTTCAATCAATGGGACGTACCAGAAATACAGACAGAAAACAACGTTATTAAAAGGAAAAAGGATTTGGCTGGAAAAAAAAACCTCAGAGCCAGAGTATAATTGAAGTTGAGTTGTGACTGTGGAGGCAGCCAACTTTGACTCCTGTGCCAGTTCAAGCATATTAAAAACTATAGTGTCAACAGGCCGGAGTGACCCCAAGTAGCCCACACACTGCATGTCATTCTTCATCATATCTGTCCGTCGGACTTTTAAAACAACAATAGTCCAAAGTGTCAGCACAGCCAGTATGTCTGAGAGTGGGTTTGGATTGGCGTTATGTGAATGTTGGTGTTAGGCCGTCTGCTTTGAAGCTCAGCTCTTTACTTTGCCCGAGAAGTCTGTCAGCTGTAGCACAAAAAGTGGGCTGCGATCAAATGGAATTTATTGGTTTTAACAATAATTTGTTTTGTCAGACTTGGATGTGAAATCAATGAGCTACCTTTGTTGTTAGACCACTAGATGTCTCTGTTACTGCTTCCAAACGCTCAATCTCAGAATTGTTCAATATCTTCCTTGGAGAATAGACAAGAAAGAATTATCAAAAATTGCTCCAGCCCAAGTGCTCTGAGATGTAATTTTAAGACTAAAATTGAGCATTGGACAAAATGAAAAAATAAAAATCATTGCAAACATTGTCCTCCAGCGGCTTCACTTCACCTTTCTGTAAAAACCAAGGGACAGCCCCAAAAATCTGTAGAAAAGTACATTATCGTAAATTGGACACATAGAATGTATGTAAGTAATCTTTATTTATATACTGCCTTTCTCAAACCGGTCACAAAGCGCCTTACAATTGTTATTTTGGGGCATTTGTCTCTCACTCTACACAGAGATGTGAGGGAGACTTTACGTTGCAGACACATGCATTTCTTTTCGCACTTCTTTTTACATCCATCCTCCACATGTTGCTATTTCTTGTTTAGTTTTATTGGCCATGTGCAAGAGAAATAATCAGTTTGCTACAATGCTAAGAACTTTTTCACATGCAAAACCATTTATAAATATACCCCAATGTGTTTAAATAAGCTATACTGAATAGTTAGGGAGTAATAGTATATTTGACCTAATTTCTAGAAGTATCACTCAAGTCAACACAAGTCATCTCAATAGCAGAATTTATTTTCTGACTGTTGTGTCTAACTTTATAAGGTAAATTACTTTTAGCTATACGGTTGTAATTCTTAAACAACACTAAATGTCCCTGTGACATGGAGGGCTGTTTGACTGAGTGCATTATAGTGTTTATTCCCAACCGTTCAGCACCGGGGGTGGTGAATGTGCCAGCTTCCTGTAGTGTGGCTCTAAATGCACACTCGCTCTGATGGCCCCTTGGCACTGCTGCTTTCCCACACCTGAGCACACTTTGATTGGTGCTTGGCTGGATCCGGAGCAGACGTTTTGGCTGTGGCATGGAGCTGTTGACCACTAATGTTTCTGTCTCTCTGCACTCTGGAAAGATGCCAGGCATTCAGGGCCTCCAGTGTTTTTATGGCACTGAAAAGCAATATTCTGCCGGGCCCAAATGCCAGTCCGAAAACAAGGGCAGGTTTGGTGGGCGAGAGCTCATTCCCTTTGGCCCAGATCTCAGTTAGCTGCTAAAAAGGCAGCTTTTACAAGAGGCAGCAGCTACATTACCAGTAGTAGAGACTGGTATATCAAATTAAGTTGTAAAAGCTAAACATACATCAGGATTAGGAAATGTATCCTGCTCGAAAAACATTAAGAAACACAAAGCTCCCTATCAGAGTGAACAGATTGTAAAATTACTTAGCGACTCTGTATACGATTAGATTTATTACAAAAAAAGATGAAATGAGTGATGTATAAAGTAGACTTCACAAAAGTAACATACTTGCTTTGTAAATTCAACTATTTGCATCCCTGTTCAACAAAATACAAAAGTGAAAGTGATCTACATGACTTTTGCTCAACAATTAAGCTGCAACAAACAAGTTACAATTGATTTGATCTAGCAATTCTTTCGATTTTTGGAACAAAGATAATACGTTATAGCTGAATTTGATCCAGAAGAAGTTGAGATGAAGCCACCAGAGGACATCCCAACAGTTTTATCATTAACCTTGACATTTCACAAGCGGAGTCTGTACATTTTTAAAGAGCAGTTAACACAAAACAAAAACAAAAAACTTGATTAGTTGCAATAAACAGCCCTACTTGACAGTTTGAATTTGTCCCAATTTAAGTTAGCTGAAACTACAGCCAACCCAAATTCCTGATGTGCACAGAGTTTATCAGTGCAGCAAAACCTAAACTACCACCAACTGTGCCTCAGAAGAGGTTTGGCCTGCTCACTGGAGCAGGGCGCGTCCAGAGAAGCACTGAGGCAAATTGGAGTCAGCTGTTGCTATTCTGCAAAGTTTTGGATCCTTCAGCTCAACATGAATGAAGGGCATATAGGGCTTTATCTGGTTCAAATACTTCTCTCTGTAAGTGCATTTTCTTCTTCTCTCGCTGGACATGAGTGTGCACTGTGCTGCGTAATGCGTGTGCGTGTGCTTCAGGCTGCAGAGTAAGGTCCTTCCTGTCTGCCACAGGATGTGGGGCGTCCTGTCTGGAAGCAGCCGAGAGCAACGCCACAGTTCAAAGGCAGAAGGAAGTGGTCAGGGCCGAGAGAACAGGGACAAAGAGGAAGACATCAAACCAGCATCTTTCATTTACACCGCTTACTTTTACGGAGGCTGTTGTCGACCAAGGAAATGCCCGGTGGTATAAACTATAAAAACTACACCAATGATTTGTTTTCATGTCTCCCTGTGTCTGCATAGGTAACCTCCATGTGCTCCGGTTTCTCCTATCACTAGAGACATGAACAATAGTCTCCCGTGACCCCCTCCCCAAAACCACTGCTGTCTCCTCTCTCCGGGGCCAGGACTCACGTGAAAAAGAGATTTCTGTGGGTCTTTCCTGGTTAATAATAGACGTTTCATCTTCATGCAAACCAACTAAATCACAATAAAACACTATTGTGAAAGAAAATTATAAATCAAGAGCTCTTTCAGCCAATACTGACCTATTCTTCTGTTTTCCAATATAAATCAATCCAATCCAAATAATAATTTTTAATCCAAATAATTGCTCAAATAATATCCTCCTAACATATCGCCCTAACATTTAGAGACCCTCAGATCTGCATGTTTTTAGACTGTAATGGACCATTACCGGAGAAAACTATTAAAAGTCTTTGGTAAGGCAGATCTTGAATAGATATTTCTAACTACAGGAGAATGTAGTGATCATCTACTGCATTTCAAATCTGCAAAAAAAAACACCAGCAGAGGCGTCTGGTTGGTATAGCTGCTCCACACCCGCCCCAGTTTCAGAGGCGCTTCTTGGTGCAAAGATCCAACACATTGACACAGTCTGCCCACTCTGGTCTTGACAGTTGTTGGTCCACAGCTGCTGAGCTAAAGAGGTGTGCCACTTCCTTCCTGCAGATCTGTTTCACACTGACAAATGAAGGGCTCGTTCAAAAAGACATTTGCAAACTTTGACTTTGAAAATATGTACAGTTGGCAACAGGAGATGAGTCACCCCTCCCCATAGCATCAGAGTCACAACTTAGTCAGGGGCCGGTGTGTCAAGAGGCATGCAGACCAGCGCTCATGCAGAATGTAATCCCTCATTTGTTCAGCGTAGCCATGGAGGAAAAGGTTTCAGTCCTCACTTTGGATGGTTGTTTCTTTAAGTTTGTTGCAAT